TATACAATTAACAAAAAGCAAAAAAAAGGGGCCTCTAACATTTGCTTGCTCTATTCTTTTTCTATTCTATCTGTTTTCTTTTTATTTATTATATAATTGTAAAAAATACCTTGCTAGGTGTACTGCGTTAAGCTAACTGAGACTTGTTATAACACTTGCATATCATTGCTCTTTTGTTGATTTTGATTGCTTCCATTGTCCTCATTTGTAAGTCGCTTTGGATAAAAGCGTCTCTTAAATGACTAAATGTAAATGTGTGTATATATATATATATATATATGTTAATATTATGTGATAAATTGATGTTTATACTAAGAGATAAATTTACTTTTATGTAATAGAATTTCTCTGTCTCAATATTCACTTCTCTTAGATCATAACAAATGATATCTATATTTACCACAAGGAGGCAGTATTACATAAAGCCAGTAGGTCGTTGTTAAAAAGATTTGACCAGGGTTAAGGAGTGTTAAGGCAAGTACTACACAAAGCAGAGAGCTTAAAGTCCCTGAAGTGTGGTAAAATCACAGTAAAGTATGGCTTTTCTCTTAGAAATTGATTTGAAGAGAAATATGATAACAAAAAAACAATATATAATACTTGATTTTTATATTTACAAACAGTAATAAATGCAATAATTCTTGATTAGTATTGATATTGTACTGCACTGAATATCGTGTATTGTATTGTACAGTACATTAGACATACATACATATTCTATTCTATTCTATTCTTCCACCAAGCCATCAAGAATCAAGTTCATTATTCTTACTGTAGGTAAAATTATAGATTCAAACTGGTGCACACCCGATATGCATCATGATTTCACATTATTGTCTACAAAATTATTGTCATTTTCATAATATCTCAATCTTTCTCTCTCATTTCACAGGTCAAAGGTCATGACGAAAATAAAATGAGGTTATAAATAAACTAGACAATCTCCGTTCGTCATTCATTAAAGCTGAATTGTCAGTGTTTCTCCAGGACGTGACACAGAACTTGATCGCATTTATTGTCAATAGCAAACATCTGAATCAGAATCGAGACGCGTTCATTCATCTCACACTGACAATCAGAGAACTCGGTCACGTTTGGCCCTGCAGAACGCCTCTCTGCAGACACGCGCTCATTTATGTTTAATGTGCCTGTAAGATAGCAGTATGTAAAACACAGACGGCGTCTCGCTCTGTCCCTCGTTCTGTCTCTGTGCTTGGATGCTTATCCTTTGGATTTTGACATTAATTCAGCAAGATCAAGATAATCTCCTTTCAGATTACACAACCAACACACACACACACAAGCACATACAATCACAGTCACACACACACACACAAGCACGCACAAACACACACACACACACACACACACACACACACAAACTTGCTCTTCTTTTCAGTGATGCAACAGTCTAAATGAGATCCCAAAAAAAAACAATTAAATAAATAAAATAAAAAATTGCAACCAAAAACAAGTGTATTATTCCTTGTAAACTTAAAGAAACGGTACATTTTCCTTGGATGATTCAGAAGACAGTTCACAATGATAAGTAAACTTCTTATCTTAAACTTCATAAGTTCTTGTGTATTTCACATTTCAGTGACAAGCTACAATAAAGGTTATTTTCTTTTCTTTCTTTCTTTCTTTCTTTCTTTCTTTCTTATTATTTTATTTTATTTTCCCCCTGACTCTTTAGTGTTTTCCAAAGTGTTGAGTTTTGGCAAATTGTTAGTAATAGTTTTACCAGTATTTTGAGCAGGTTAAAAATTGAGTGAAAACTTGAAGTCAAACTGACACTAACACAACAGGAAGTAAAGGATGCGACGAGGGCACCATCAGAAGCCTTTTCTGCATGCTGTCCTCCTCAAAGAAAAAAATAAGAGGTCTCGGCCAAGATCTGTGACAGACAGTGATTTAACTGATGGGTGCACGAGAGGCACACAACACTTCCAAAGCCCCGGTCGCTTTCCATGATGTCACCCACACCTGGACCTTATAGAGTTAATGAGGCCGGTTTGATTGATAGCTGACATTTCATTATGGAGGAGTCATACACCTGATGTACATCCCCTCACGGTTGATGTCCTTGTAGAAATTCTGCAAAGAAATGAAACGCAAACGTTAACTTTGAGCCTCTGTGTTGACGTTTCTCTGAAGATGAGATTGTTGTGCGTTTTTTAGATGCTTCTGATATGTAACGCAAAATTATGATGATGGATTTCTCAAGATTTTAAATGTGACGCACACAACGATATGATGCTTATTTATAGTTTATTCAGATATTGAAGTCATTTCCAGTCTGACAGATTGAAGTTGCGGCAGCGACGTTCTGACTGTTAGAAAACAAGCAACTCAAATCTCAAATGAATTGTTAAGAAAAAGATGAATATTTTATGGAGCAGAGGAGTTAAAGATCTTGTTGTATTACACACGGTTTAATTTGTAATTTTTTAATTTAATTAGTTTGTGTATGTTCATTTAAAGGAAATATTCTGCCTGGATTTTGCATATGAATCATTTAAAGAGGATGAAAGCTGACAGATTCATCATACTGTAGCAAGAAAATGAACTCTAATTTAAAACATAAGGTCATGTGGGAATCACTTCGTTGCCACTTCTGAACGTGTTCATTATTATATTTTCCTCAAAAGCTTGGGTCCATCCTTAATTGGCTGTGTTTCCACCAATTTCATTTATGCATTAAAATGAATAAAAAATTAATAAGGCAATGTTTCCATCCCATGTGTTCAAGTAAACAAAACTGGGTAAAATAGAAAAGGAAATGTAAGTTATATCTAGGGAAGAAACTGTGGATCAATGACTTGTGGTTTAGAGCCACAGACAAACATTTACAATGAAGTTGAGTAAATTATTCAATCACATGACTTGTTGATCCAAGTCACCTGACATTTTTTATGTGCATCTTGAAATGTATTTGGTTATTGCTGATCCATATGCTGAACTTTTATTTGCATCTTGATGTTTCCAAATGGACATTTTAATGAGATATTATAAAATTTGTATGCATGTAAATATATGGGACTGGGACTTTTTCATCTGTTTTATTATCAACCAGGTGAAAATTGTACCTCTGATCATTTAAAGTGATCCTTCCAGCACATCCTTCCTAAAGCACTAGTGAGTTACGAGTTACACTGTGAAGTTTAATAGATTAATAGTGTCATGTGTTTATTTAACAGAATTATTTATTTATTTATTCATTACTATTTTTTTTTTTTTTTTCATTTTTTACTTTAAAATTTTATGTATTTCTGAGATTGCTGTGACTGGAGTAATGATGCTGAAAATTCAGCTTTGCCTCACAGGAATACATTATATTTTAAAATATAATATTCAATAGAAAACCATTATTTTAAATTATAATAACATTTCACAATATTACTGTTTTAAACTAATTTTTTAATCAAATAAATGCAGCCATGATGACCAGAAGAGACTTCTTTCAAAAACATTTTAAAAATTGACCAGTAGTGTGTATTTATACTATTTTAGTTTTTATTAATAATTTAAATACAATTTTATTTTCATTAAAATTTTTTAGTTTGAGTTTTAATAATTTGATGTGCTTTTGTCATTTTATTACTTTTTAGTTTTTTTATTATTTCTATTTAGCTTTATCTTTTTTTTATTCAGTTTTTAGCCATTTTAGAACTTCAACTTATTTTAGTTAGCTGTCAAGGCAGCATTTTTTCTTTTTTTTAAGTTTTTACATTTAAGTGTATCATCTAACATTTTTATTTATATTAATATTAAATAAATTTTATTTAATATTACTATAATATATTATATAATAATATAACTTTTAATTTAATTATTATTATTTTTTTACCAAAACAATTTCTAATGGTTTTAGTGAATAACAACTATTCATTATGGGCAGGAGCTGCTTTTAAAGATTTTGTGCTGGGATATTAATCTGCATGTTTGTTAAATAAAATAACCAGTTGGTTCAGTAGTTAAGTTGAACACGTCGTCCATTTGGGCCCATTAGGAGGCCGACAGCTCAAACTGATCAGACCAGATAAATCAGAAAACCACTTTATGTCTGTGACACATGAAGTGGGCGGGGCTTACCAGAAGATTGACAGTGCAGCTCATGCGGTTGTTTCGACTGTCATCGCTCATCACTGTGCGGTAGTCAAGGAGTCGCTCCAGGAGGCCGGTCACAAGGGTAACGAAGTGCTGTACCTCGGTCAGCAGTGGGGGGCGTCCCTGAGCGCACTCTAAAAGACTGAAGCGGCACACGGTCAGAGCGGCTCTCATGCTTTCAGGAGATTTCAGGAGGATTTGGAGCTTCTTATGGAGTCAAGCCAGCATTATACAAGACCACAGTGTGTGTGTGTGTGTGTGTGTGTGTGTGTGTGTGTTCGTACATGCTCTGTAGCAGCTCCATGTATCTCTCGTCTCCTCCACCCCCTTCCACTTCATGATCCAACTTCAGGATGATCTCGTTCTCAAACTGAGAGGCAGAGAGAGACTTCATTAACAAGTTCAACATTATTAATGTGCATTTGCTAATCTGTGTGTGTGGGCAACTTTCTCTATGTTTTTTGAAAAACATCCCAAAATAGCAAGTTGTTGTGACATTCTAACATAGAAAATATTCATAAATGAAAAAAAGCATCTTATTTCAAACCTAAACATGCTAAAAGTCTTGATAGGGTTAATCTACAGCAGGCCTACACTGACTCAGAACTGACCAGTTCATAAAACATTTTAAATCCTTTCCTCAGAATTATGGAAATATTCAATGAGAATATATATCTTAAATATTTTAAATATATTTTACCATCTTTAAACCCATTTCATAGAATTACAGAAATATTATATAAATATATAAATATTTATAAATATTTTAACACATTTTATCATGTTTAAATCCATTTCCCAGAATTATAGAAATACTCCAGGAAATATTCATATTAAAATTAAATATTAATACTAAAATTATAATATTAAAATATTACTAATATATTTTTAAATGCATTTATCTTTAAATTCATTCCATAGAATTATAGAAATATGTGAAAAATATTTTACATGCATTTTACCATCTTTAAATCAATTACGTAGAATTATAGAAATATTCAATATCCATTAAATCATTTGAATTTATTCCATAGAATTACATTTAGAAATAATATAAAAAAACACATTTTAAACCCATTACTCTGAATTACAGAAATATTCCATATAATGCTTTTAAAATATTTTAACACATTTTACCATGTTTAAATTCATTCATTAGCACTATAAATATTTCATATAAATAAATAAGTATATTTTACACATTTTCCATGTTTAAATTAATTTCTCAGAATCATAAATGTTGCATAAATTTTTGTTTATATTTTAACACATTTTACCATGTTTAAATCTATTTAGAATTATAGTAACTTTTTAAAAAAAAGGATTAAATAATGTGTTGTCTGCATGTAAAAATGTTGAGTTTAGCTTATATTAAGAACAAGAGAAGTCAAAGTGAGGTCATGATATAAAAACAGATTTTTTAGTGTGTGTGTGTGTGTGTGTGTGTTTGAACCTTTTTGAAGTTTCCGGAGTGGTTGTGTTCACACTGCATCATGTCAAAGAATATGGGGATGGTCGCTCTCCGCAGCTCTTCCTCCGGGATGAGCGTCATCTCCAGGATGGGACCCACCATCCCGGGAATGAAACAGATCTTATTTCTACCAAGCTTGTACCACATGTCTCTGATAGCAAAACCAATCAGCCGTCTCATGTCTCCATATCTGAATGAAAGCAAGCAAGCATATTTATGCATATTTCATTTCTTTGACTATAGTTGTGAAAGCCAGATTTCTGTACGAAGAGAGTTCAACTGTGAGCAGTTGCTGCTGGTTTAAGTGGGATGTTTCGGGTTTAAGACTCACTTGGCCAGAATCTTGCTCCTTTTGGTGGGAGAGAAATGCTGCAACTGCAAAGACTCCTGGGTAATAAACGCCACAGCCAAATGGAAGTAATTATTCCATAACTACAGGAGAGAGAAATCATGATAAGATGACATTGGGGTGAGATATGTGAGATTATATGAGGGCTATTAACACTAATTGAATCTGAACATGATCAAGCTCATTTAAGACACACACACACACACACACACACACTGACCTGCACTTCAAAGCTGTTGTTGTCGAGGAACTTGTGGTTCATGGTGTCGGCGTATGTGTTGATTGCTCGGAGAAACACCCTGATTGGATGAACATATTAGGGTTATTATAATTAACCAAAACTTAAAAGAGTTAGTTCATCCAAAAATGAAAATTAGCCCATGTTTTACTCACCCTCAAGGCATCCTAGGTGTATATGACTTTCTCATTTGATCAAGTGTCTGTATCGCAATCTTTTCATTAACCTAATTTTTCTTATTGAGTCATTATTGAGTCTTTTAATAAGCTGCCTTTTTAATGGATGTCTTCATTTTCAACACCAGATCTATTGTTTTATCATTTCAGATCATATAAACCTCATATGTTTTACTTGTAGTAGATGTAGAAGTGAGCATCAACTGTAAGTTTCAAGTCTGTGCAACTTTATTCACAGTACATGATGACTGATTTAGTACTATCCCATCGAACAACATTTTTAAGGATGTTTTAAATGTACAATTGCTGTTTGTGCTAACAGTATCTGATGATCAGCAGGGTCACAGATGAACTTTAAACTGTGATATTGAATTCCAGGAAATATACTGAGGTCAATAAAACACAATATGCTGCCACTGTCTGCTGCTATTAACAGTAACACACACACAAAACACACACACACACACAGACTAAACACCAGCAATCCATATCTTCCTCAGTAGTTTCTCTCTTTCTCCTCTGTCTCTGGGTCTGCAGGTTTATTCCTCTGTAAATCTCTCTTTCTCTCTCATTGGCCTCTTGTTTGAAGTGTAATCAATGTTAAAGGGTTAGTTCACTCAAAAATGAAAATTAGCCCATAAATTACTCACCCTCAAGTCATCCTAGGTGTATATGACTTTCTTCTTTCAGACGAATCCAGTCGGAGTTATATTAAAAATTGTCTTTGATCTTTCAAGCTGCTTACAAAAACGCATCGATTCGCTACAGAAGGCCTTTGTTCAGCCCCAGGAGCCGTGTGAGATGCTTTTTTATGGATGGGCGCATTTTATTTAACTGCTTTTGGACTGATGCATGCAACACCCGCTGAGTGCCATGAAACAGCTTGAAAGATCAAAGACAATTTTTAATATAACTCCAACTGGATTTGTCTGAAAGAAGAAAGTCATATACACCTAGGATGACTTGAGGGTGAGTAATTTATGGGCTAATTTTCATTTTTGGGTGAACTAACCCTTTAACATAGTGTTTGTGTTGCTGAAGACTCTGAGACTGACAGTGGATGTTACTGTCGATCATCTCAGGAGCGCTGCTGTGTGTGTGTGTGTGTTTCTTTGCTCTCACCGGTTTTGCACCATGATCATAGTGACCCAGTCAGATGGGTAGACATGTTTACCAATCAGATCCTTAAACAACAGAAACGTCTCCATCAGGAAGTCCTACAAGAACACAAACACAAGATGATTAACTGCTGAATCAAATAGATAGACAGACAGACAGACAGATAGATAGATAGATAGATAGATAGATAAGACAGACGGACGGACAGATAGATGATGGATGGTTAGATGAATGGATAGATAGACAGACAGACAGACAGATAGATAGATAGCCAGACAGACAGATGGATGGACGGACGGACAGATGGACAGATAGATGATGGATGGTTAGATAGATAGATAGATAGATAGATAGACAGACAGACAGACAGACAGACGGACGGACGGACAGATAGATGATGGATGGTTAGATGAATAGATAGATAGATAGATAGACAGACAGACAGACAGGCAATAGATAGATAGACAGACAGACAGACAGACGGACAGATGGACGGACGGATGGATGGACGGACGGACGGACAGATAGATAGATAGATAGATAGACAGATGGACGGACAGACGGACAGACAGACAGACAGACAGACAGACGGACGGACGGACAGATAGATGATGGATGGTTAGATGAATAGATAAGACAGACAGACGGACAGATGGACGGACGGATGGACGGACGGACAGATAGATAGATAGACAGATGGACGGACAGACAGACAAGACAGACAGACAGGCGACGGACGGACGGACGGACGGACGGACAGACAGACAGACAGGCGACGGACGGACGGACGGACAGACAGACAGATAGATAGATAGATAGACAGACAGATGGATAGACGGATAGACAGACAGATAGATAGATAGAAAGATAGATAGACAGACAGACAGACAGACAGACGGATGGATGGATAGACGGATAGATAGATAGATAGATAGATAGATAGATAGATAGATATAGATAGACAGACAGACAGACAGACAGACAGACAGATGGATGGACGGACGGACAGATGGACAGATGGATGGTTAGATGAATAGATAGATAGATAGATAGATAGATAGATAGATAGACAGACAGACATACGGATGGACGGACAGACAGTGTTAGATACAGAACAAAAGAACAACAGAATAATGGAATGATAGAATGAGAGATAGAACGACAGATAAAACAATAGTGTCTCACCACTAGGTCTGTGGTCCCGCTGAAGGTCTCTATGTAGCGTGAATAGTGTCTGTCGTCCATCTGACTGAGAATAGCCGTCATACAGGCCACCACTCGAGACTAGAGCGACACAGAGATACAGACAGAGCCCAGGATCAAATCTCTACTTCAATAACAACAAACGTAAAAGTCCTGACGCTCTCATTCAGCTGATGGGACAGAAGATGATGAACAACATTTCAGATAGTTTGGAGAATCTTTCAATCATTCATATCGACGTCCAATTTCCCCTCCACCTCCACTCTGTATGTGCCTTCCTTCCCTCACTCTCTCTCTCTGATCAGATGATAAATGATACAGGCAGAGAGGAAAAGTGATGGATGATGGATGGATGTATGCAGACAGCGAGGTGAGACCCATCACTCACACAGACCTCACAATCCTGACTGTATGCCGCTGATAAAATGTGTGTGTGAATGTGAATGAAATGAAGTGTACAGTTTATTCTGTCACACAGATCTAAAGTAAAACAGTATAAATATTGGAAGAAAAATGAACTTTGCATTCCATGAAGGACTGTGAATTATAAAAACTGTTCAAATGTTTAGGGTCAGTAAGGTTTTTAAAAGCTTTTGAAAGTCTCTTCTGCACACCAAGGCTGCATTAATTTGAATAATACAGTAAAAATTGTGAAATATTATTATAATTTAAAATAACTGTTTCCTAATGTAATATATTTTCAAATATAATTTATTCCTATGATGCAAAGCTGAATTTTCAGCATAATTACTGCAGTTTTCAGTGTCATGATCCATGCATCAGAAATTGTTCTGATATGCTGATTTGCTGCTCAAGAAACATGTATTATTATTATTATTATTATTATTATTATTATCAATGTCAAAATCAGTTGTGCTGCTTCATATTTTTGTGGAAAACATGATATATTGTATTTTTCAGGATTCTTTGATGAATAGAAAGTTCAAAAGAACAGCATTCATAAAAATTAAAAAAATCTCTTATAACATTACAAATGTCTTTTTAATGCATCCTTGCTGAATAAAAGTATACTTTTTTTGGGGTCAGTACAAAAAAAAAGTTTGTACTGACCCCAAACTTTTAAATGACAGTATTTGAAGTTTATTGCAAAATATTCTGATATACACCAGTAGTTTGAAAGTGTATTTGACTCAACTGTGGTGTCTGCAGTGAATCATTGGAGAATTATACTCTACAGAAAGTCAAACAACCTACAATGACTCCATAAATGTCCCTAGAATACACCATAAAATACATTAACACTGAACAAATGACACGTTTCTCCTTTAAGACAGAAAAACTTGTGAAAACGTATGTGAAAAAGCCAGCAGACAGACACAGGACTCATCTAAAGAGAAGCAGTTCAAATGATTGTGCTGAGACAGACGCCAGTGATGTTCCCATCAGCTGTTTAAAGAGCTCTGAGATCCATCCTACTGCTGGAAATATGCTGATCACACACGCCTCTATTGCTTTAAACGGTCTGTGTGTGTGTGTGTGTGTGTGTGTGTGAGGTGAGATTTCTCTCTAGTGAGTGTTATACGTCTCACTGCTGTCTGTCTGCAGCCTGACAAACAAAGACAGAATGACAGTAAAACAGACACACATCAGCTCTGCTCACCAATACACAAAATACACATTTACTGAAACCCAGTGAGCTGCTTAACTAGACAGGGACCCGTTCCAAATCAGGACAAACTTACAAAGACTTTTGACTATCAGCATAAAGTCTGGTCCATTTTGCAGCTCATGCTCTCAGGGGGTTCATGGGCACTGACACTGCTGAAATATAATATAATATAATATAATATACTATACTATAATAATATAATATAATATAATATAATATAAAACGTTGTATAATAAAATATATTAAACAATATTTAATATAATTACCATGCAATATTATTTTATATATTATCAAAACAGAAAACAGTCCTTTTGTCAGATTTATCTGTCTTCTGAGGACAAAATCTGTCCTTGAAGTACAGCTAAGTAAATGCACACAGACAGAAAGTCACACAGTCACCCAAAGGCAGAGAAAAGGACACAATGTTTGATGAAAATCTACAGCCAACAAAGGAGTTTCACACTCACATACACACACACACACACACACACACACACAGAGGCAGGCAGCGGTAGAGGTGTAATCTGTGTTATGTAATAAATCTAATTAAATAGAGCGGTGTCATCTATAAGGACAGATGGCTCACTCTGCCAAATGAAAATAAAACCACGCACACATGAGTCATGAATATCTCTTCATCCTGATTCCAGCGTCGCACCTGTTCAAACATCTCTTATCTCTTCCGATCTGTTTCCTGTTTCCTTTGTTATTCATTGAGAACATAATTCATACAGACTCACAACATTCCATATCTCTCCTGAAATATTCATTTGATTTTCAGTGGAAACAGGCCAAAGTTTGAGGGATCAAACTAGTAATTCTATTAATAATTATAAATAAAAATAAGTACGTT